TACTTGCGCAATCTTACAATCCTAAATGCGTACTTTTAAGAAGCGGGTTTATAAGAGTGCGCAAAAGAACTTTTTTAATTTCACTTTTTCTATTGTTTAGTTTGTGTTTCAGAAATATTGTTTAGTTCGCAAATTATAATTGATTTTGTTGTTTATGTATCAACAGGCTTAAATAAAAATAAATATACTTTCCATGCAATAGATAAACACAATTAGTTAGTCATATGCTGACACTATTCGAGTGTAAAAATAAAATTTTGTTTACAATGTTTCAACCCGACCTGGGTTAAATTATACTTGTTAAATTATACAAAAAAGGACGAAAAAGTAGCATCTGTATTTTTTAAAAGTACAACATGGAGAATCGGTTGGGTTAGCGTAGCACAAGCCCAACAGCACAACATTTTCCATTAGAAAGTGATCTGACTTTTTCACAATGTAACCAAACATATAGAATTTTTCTTTTCTATTGTGTTTAAATTAAAAAATGTTTCATTTGATTTCCTTCTTCATTGATCTTGGTATTATTCATATTATGACTTACGATTTTTTTGTGCTTGAAGCATTATTATGGATTTTTTTACTATTGCTAGGTTACATAGTAGTCATTCATTAGCATTAGTACTCATATTGCTCTGGATCGTAATGTTAATATCTCCTAGTATAACTGTACTTTTTGAGTTTCTATTTCTATTGTATTATTCCCTCCTAATTTTCACAGATTCAATATTTACAATCACAGTGTTTCACAACACTGTGTTTCCAATCATTCTTTTTTAATGGACTTTTTACGAATTGAGAATCTTATATATATATATATATATATATATATATATATATATATATATATATATATATATATATATATATATATATACAGTGTGGAAACCACTTATGGAATAAAATTGTTTTTGTCCTTATTATAGAAAATAATCAAAAACTCTGGAACACGTTAACTTTTAAATTTAAATGTGCACTTTTTAAACATAAGTTTAAATGTACGGGGTGATCCACGCAAGTCTGGCATAGTCCATAATCCTTATTTTTAATGAAACACACTGTATATTTTTATGTTTTTAAAATACTTTTAACAACCTAATTTCAATGAACTATATCATGTAGCGTCTATAATGAATAATACAAGGTGAAATTTTGAAATTAATAATTTATCACGTGTTATGGTATTATTTTAAATTAGCTAAATACAGACAATAGACTTCTACTCGTAAGTGTCAGTACACTGTATATTGGGGAAATTTCTGTTTAATAACCGTGTTAACATTTTTTGTCGTGAATAGGTAAAAACTGTATAGATAGTCCGCCAATTAAACTAAATCGGTAAATAATGCGGATTGTTATCAATCAGTTGACATGTTGTTGACATTTTACATTAAAATAATAAATTCTTAATTAAAAACTAATTTCTTGCAGAAATAAAAATGAAATATTTAACTAAGGCCCACCGAATTGAGATTTTAATGATGATCGGTTACGGGGAGAATTGTAGAAATCAAGTTGAAGTAGCAAACTTATTTAATCAGAGGTATCCTCAGTTACCTAATATTTCACAAGGTACTGTGTCTAAACTTTACGCACAATTCAGAGAACTTGGACATATTAAACCATTAAAAAGAAAATCGAACTTCATTGAAGATGAAATGAAAGTGGATATTTTGTTATGTGTCTCAGAGAATCCAACGTCAAGTTCACGTCAAATTGCACGTCAAAATAATGTGAGTCACACAACTGTCCTAAGGTGTCTCCATGAAGAAAACTTCATCCAAATAAATTGACATTTGTGCAGGAGCAAACAGAAGACGATCCGGATCGTAGAATTGATTTCTGCAAAAGAATGATGGATAAAATTAACAAATGAAATAGCTCTTGGCACAATTATTTTTTCTGATGAATCAACATTTACATTGAACGGAGAGGTAAACTGACAAAACTGTAGATATTGGTCAGCGGAGAATTCTCATTGGATGAGACACACAATCAGTATCCTCAAAAGTTGAATGTTTGAGCAGGTATTATAGGAGATCATATTATTGGTCGTATATTTATAGATGATAATTTTACAGCGGAAAAATATTTAAGCATGCTAAGAGACGATGTTCTTCCTTAGTTGGCTAACTTATATCCCAATCCAATAGATCCGACCCTACTGCATAAAACTGTCTGGTTCCAGCAGGACGGTGCAACACCCCATTATGCTTTAATGGTGAGAAATTACTTGAATGAAATCTTCTTCAATAAGTGGATTTGATAAAGGGGACTATTGAGTGGCCAGCTAGGTCGCCAGATCTTACGCCTTTGGATTTTTTGTGGGGTTATCGCAAGAATAAAGTATATACAACACAATCAACTATCATTGAAGACCTCAAAAAGAAAGGATAACTACAGAAATACGGAATATTTCACCTCAAACTTTAAACAAAGTTCGGAATGAGTTTTATAGGAGACTGTGTTATTGCCAACAACAAGGTGGAGAATATGTTGAGCATTTATTTTAATGTAATCCAATTAATTACCTCGGGTATTCTATGAATTCATTGTCTTGAAGAAAATACCTAATTTCAAAATTTCACCTTGTATTATTCATCATAAACCCTACATAATATAGTTCGTTGAAATCAGGTTGTTAAGGAGCTTTTAAAAACATGAAAATATACAGGGTGTTTAATTTAAAATACAGATTATGCACTATGCCAGACTTGCATTGATCACCCTGTACATTCAAATTTATGTCTAAAAAGCGTACATTTAAATTTAAAAGTTAACGTATCTCAACGTTTTTTATTATTTTCTAAAATAAGGACACAAACAATTTTATTCCATAGGTGGTGTCCACACTGTATATTAATGTTATATTAAAAGTCTGAGGTGCGCCAAAAAATTAGCGAATTAATTAATTAATTAAACTTAATTAAACTTACTTAAATGATGCAATTATGATTCTATCACAATATTTAATTTTCTTATCTCAGTGTTATACTCGTGCTTCAATATCTATGTTTTACATATGATAGGTAAGGTCCAAAGAATACCGGAATAATAAAACATATATGATACATTATATATTGAAATAAAATTCACACTCAAATATCTTCAATAAAAAATATCTCACATAATACAATATAAATTAAAATTTCAAATTAAAATTGTTGTTCTAAATCTCCTGATCAGAATATTCCTATCTTTTCTAAAGCAATTGTTAAAAAAATGTGTTGTTAATAAAGAAAACTGACGAATGGTAAAACTATCTCTCTGATGATGAGTTGTCCAAATCCTTGTTCCTTGTAGCCTACACTATCTATTCTTAGCAGCCCCCTAGGTAATCAGCAATCTTACAACAAATTATTGCGAGTCTATCGTCTTTAATGATCTCCTTCAAATGCACGTATCGTTCAAATGATGCTAGCCTCTTCTCCTCTCGATAAACTGAATCTCTCGTTCTGGCCTGAACAGTGACTGTTGGAATGTAAGTAGAAAGATATAACTTACAATATTTTACTGGATCAGCTTCTGTCAGATACACTTACTCCACGAAAACTCACAAACATTCGCTTCTACTGCTTACTACCTCTAGGGAACCACCAGAGAATAACGACTGTTCGCCTTGCATCCTTAGAAAAACAAGTTATAGAGCGACGCCTATGGTTTATTCTGGCCATGGACTTAGGAGTGCTGACATGGTCAAAGACATTGAATTTAGGAGTGCTGACGGTATGTTTCGTAATATTGTGAATTGTATAATTGCAACTGTATATGTTTGATTTTAACTAATATTTTATTCAGTTTAGAATCTGATTTTATTGTAATCAGTCGTTTTAGCTCTAATAAATTCTTTTTTTAAAAAAGGACTTTTGGCATTCCCAAATTTGAGTAGCGCAGTCAGTAGCTAGGTCAAACGGGATTAACGAATATAAATTCGGTTCGTTTCAACGATTTATTGACCCCAATTCGACAGCATTATACTCCTGTGGGTGGATTAAATAGCCCTTTATAACAGGAATCGTGTTAAGTGGACTTTTCTAGTGAATATCGAAGATACCTGCTTAGTCAAACCTTCTAAGTGAAGCAGCTTACATGAACGGACAATTCTTCTTTGGTAAGTGAGAATAATAATAATACCTAATAACAAGATATTTGTCAAAAAGTAAAAATACAATAATACCTCTCAACGACATCTGCACCCACGGTAAAATTTTTCAATGTTTTCAAAATCATACCAGAGATGAACCAGTTTTTGGTAATATTTCCTATGGAAGAAAAATTAACTTTCAAATGCTCTAAACGAATTCAAATTAAACACTGACAGGCATCTTTCTGATCGAAAATACACAATACACAAATGTGCAATCCTTTTCAGAAACCAAGGATTGTTGTTCCAAGATCGAACCTTTGGACAACCAATTTTAATCACCGAGCCAAAATTAAAGTTCAAAGAATTAAGCGTTTCACCTATGAAAATAACTTTGAAGAATTTAAAATTTGAAAAAAATCCCACAAACAGAATTACACTCATCATGGAACAAAGAAGAAATTACCACATTCCCAGCATTTGGACGATCATATTATATCTTGCCATCGTTGTAATAATCATCTACATTATCTATAAGAAAATAACGATAAGAACGAGAAAAGAAACCAAAAGAAAGGAAGACATAAAAATGTCAAACATACAGGACCCAGACGATTCCAGTTCGAAAATTCACCTCCCACAAGGAGTTTCTCTAGGGGAAGAGGAGTTATAGAGCGACGTCTATGGGTTTATTCAGGCCATGGACTTTTGTGCAGAATTTAGGCCTCTTTCTAGTTTACTTATTTAACACTTGGTATAATTGGGCAAATTTCCCAAAAAACTGATTTTCAAAATTTTCTTCGCAGGTTACGCCCCCTAGCGGTTAACCCAAAAACATCAAAGTTATTTCCAGCGATTTCTCTTGGCCCCTTTTACTAAGGAATTTTCTAATTCAAATAATTTACTTATTGCTTACCTTGGAGATGTCTTATCTCTTATGTCTTCACCTTCGACATTGTGGAAAATAATCGGAAACTTCTTATTTATAAGAATATCAGAATCGATGAACAAATCAGTAAATGCATTACCAGCTGCTATTAGCTCATTATCATAAAATAATTTGCTTGATGGTTTAAGAATCGATTCATGGGATCTATAATTTCTGACTAATTTTGTTACACAACGGTTATCAAACGAATTGGTTTCATTGTTAAAATATACTTTAGTGTAAATAAGTCTTTCTAGCATTGATTTACCTAAAATAAACACATTATTGTAAAAAAATATTGGAATATGTATAATATAATAATTAAAAGGATAAAACCGTTCCTAATGTTAAATGAAAAATATTCGTCTTTCGATTCAGTATCCTAAAATATGTTTTGATGATGGGACCTGATCTTGTTGAACTGAACTTATTTCCAAAAAGACATACATTAAAATATCATATTCTTTATATCCTGAGAACATTCTGTATAACTTTATGAACTTTGGAAATATTTATTTTATACCTACAGGTAAATATAGCATGAGACGAACATAACCAATAGGTCATCAAGTCACCGAAAATGTTAACGTGCTTTGGCAAGGTGTGAGAGGTATTCGCACATTAGATTCAATGTAATTTATATCGGATACATATTTGATGATTTTACTTAAAATAAAAACCAAAAATAACATCGTGTAACCAATAATATAAATTAGTTTTTGATCATTTTGTTTTATGGATTACTACTATTAGAAATTTGTCAGGCCATGAGTAGGCGTATCTACATTGAAAAAATGGCATGTGCCTCATCCTATATGCTATGGCATGCTGGATGAGTCATATTGTCTGTAACCATCACCCGGAGGTATGAACGGAAACACAAGTGTATCAATACTCATACTCTCATGAAACGTACCTGGAGAATCATAAATGCTTTCACATTTGACTCTTTTTTAATTTGTCTTAAGTGAAATGTCTTTAATATATATGGCCCTTGCACAGACAGCGTGACAAACGAATGGAGGGGCAGATACAATAACGAGCTAGAGTCTCTATTCGGAAAAGAAAATCTAGTCAGATATATAAAGGCCAATAGACTTAGATGGGCAGGACATGTGATACGCAGTAACGACAATCGCCTTATAAACAATGTGTTCTGGGAAAGGCTAGATGGAAGAAGGTCTGTAGGGCGGCCTAGAAAAAGGTGGAAAGATGCAGTCAGAGAAGATCTAGAGAAGATGGGAGTGCGACAATGGGAATTACTGGCACAGGACCGACAAACATGGAAGGCAATGGTAAACGCGGCAAAGCGTTTGCCTTGACTAACGATGATGATAAAATGTCTTTAATCTTTTCTATCGGCCACTCTTGACTAACTCTTGTTTTTTTCCGATCCCGAAGGGCTATTAGGTTTTCGAGGGCAGACAGGTCACTATATTTCCGTCTACTACACATACTCTAAAACTCGCCAACATGCTAGATTAGTATGGGGTTTAAATGGTAATCGCGGCAAAGACTCACGAAGAATTGTAGCGCCATTGATGATGATGAAATGTCTTTAATCTTTTCTATCAGCCACTCTTGACTAACTCTTGTTTTTTCCGATCCCGAAGGGCTATTAGGTTTTCTAGGGCAGACAGGTCACTATATTTCCGTCTACTACACATACTCTAAAACTCGCCAACATGCTAGATTATTATGGGGTTTAAATGCCAAATTTCCCATCATGATGGATATATAACGTGTACGGACCTCAGTCCCCGGTTGTTCCCATGTCCCTGACCAAGGTGGCGGTTAAAACAGAGTTGAAGCAGAGGGTACTAAGAATCACCGGAAGAGATCAGGCCACCATAACAAACAACAAATGCACATACGTGCCTATAACGTAAAAAATCTATAAACATAAGCATCACCGATAGAACTGGAGGAAGAACTAAAACAGATAAAATGGGACGTAGTCGGTATAAGCGAAGTTAAATAAAAATATGTTCCATTTCAGAGAAAACGAAGGGTCATCCGTCGGGGGAGTTGGTTTTTAATCCATAAAAAATGGACACCAAATATAATTACAATACAAAGTGTATGTATCAGAGTCATTATCATGTTATATTCAATTAAATCAAAGATACAAACTTAAAATTATACAGACTTAGGCACCAACTACGGGCCACTTAGATGAGGAATCTAATCAATTTTATGAAGATATTAGAGCAGGTATACCATCTTCAAAAACCTATTATACAATGATAGTTGGAGATTTCACCACCAAAACTTTGGATTTGATGAAAGAATTGAGAGAGGTAACAAGGTTCTGGACTTCTTACATGAGGAGAATTTCTTTGTGATGAACTCATTCTTGAGAAAAAAGACTTTAACGTAAGTGGACATGGAAAAGTTCGAACAAAAAAAAAAACAAAAAATGAGATTGATTTCATAATATCTAATCGGAAAGATATAGTTAAGGATGTAAGAGTTTTGAATAAATTTTCAACATGGTGTTGACAAAAATGATCCTCAAAGAGAAGAGTGGAAGACGGATATTCCCAGAAAGATACAGTTAAGGATGTAAGAGTTTTGAATAAATTTTCTCCGACAAAGCGGAGAAAGTGTTGACGAAAAAAAATATTAGTGTAATAAGTAGGTATATCGGACACCTATAATATACTGATTTCTCAATTAGTTTTAAATTATGCGAGCAATCTAATTTTATCAATAACAAATTGAAAGACAAAAAGTATAAAATCCCATACTGAATTATGTTGTAGATATATATCTAAAGAAATCCCATATTAACGGAGAGAGGGAGAGATAAAGAGAAAGAGAGCTGCTGATAAAGATAAGCGTGGGAAAAAAAGATGGTTTTAAATTGCGGCAAATAGAAAGCAGAAAAACTAAAATAAATGAGAGAAGAGGATATTGTTTAGTTACTTACCGTATCCGCAATATTCAGCAATTCCAGAATGAACCAACGGTCCTAGTTGTTTGGGATCTCCAGCGAGTACTAATTGAGCAGTAACCATGCCTTCCTTTTCACTATTCGATGCAATCCCTGCAATTGGAATAAGTGTTTGCGTCTCTGTGGCATATCCACTTTCGTCGATAAATATGTGCGAAAAATGATTGGAAGGAACTCCACCATTGACGAGTCTAAATTTTAATTTTAATTTAAATAATTATTTAGATATAAAGGAATAATACATATTGGGAAAACATTGGGAAATGCAGTCAATTTATTTTGGGCTAAACGTAAAATTATTTGAGCTTAATTATATTTTCGGAAATTTTATTTTCTTTCTCAAGACAATCTAAAAATGAAAATTAACATTTAGAAAAACCTAATATAAACAATAAAACTTAATACTCGTGGTTAACTTGATTTTTTTATCCAAACCATTGCTTTAAATTGTCTAAGTTCTGTAAGTAAATTAATTGCTCTTTCCAAAATTTTTACTTCTTGAAAAATAAAAACATGATCCTTGTTAATCACATAGGGAGTTTGTAAATTGTGATCTCACCAAATTAAGAGCATGCATCCTTGTCTCACTCCTCTATCCATGGAGATTGTCTGTGTCAACTCGTCATCCACTTTAATGTTGACAGATTGATTGTAATATAAATTATATATAATTCGCAAGTCCCTATCATCCAAGCCCACTTCTTTCAAGATGGATATGAGCCTGTTATGTTTTACTCTATCAAATGCCTTTCTGTAATCTATATAAAATACATATATACATCACAGTTGACATCCCTCCACCTCTAGATAAGCACTTGTATAGCGAACAGAGCTTCTCGGGTGCCTAAGGTATCGCGGAATCCAAATTGTGTCCATGACGCTTGTTCATCGCATTTTTTATATATCCTGTTATGTATCACTTTTAAAAACGTTTTAAGTAAGTGACTCATTAGGCTAATTATTCTGTAGTCTTCGCATGTTTTTGCATTTAATGTTGTTGGTATAGGTTGACTTTAACCGGCTTTGGGGAATATTTCCAGTCATATTGTTACGAACATCCATTCAGCGTGTCCCGTATAGCGCATCTCGAAAGCGACTTGATGTTTCCGGAAAAACCAGTCACGTACGCGAATTAGAGGTGGGAACTTTCTAGAACATAGTAACTTTGGTATATATATGTAACGAAATTAGGAGTTAAGTTTAGTTGATAAGAGAATACCGAACTGTAAAGTTATAAATAAATATATTTATATAAATTCGAAGAGCTCGTTTTATTTAAAAACGGTACAATATATATTTTGTTAAATATAGTCCTTATTCATTATTTTCCTTGTTCGTCCACAAGTTTAAAGAATTCTGTATAAAATTTTTCAAGCCCTACAGCTCTACCATCTTTAGATTTTCTTATAGCTGATGTGACTTCTTCAATGGTAATCGGGGGTCCTGTTTGGCATTTTATGTCTTCAATGGTAATTCATCTGCAAATGTTACTTTCACAGATTTCTTCCAAGTGTCTAATCTCTCTTCCATACTTAGTAGTGGATTACCTTGGTTGTGTGCCAAACATTTAACTCTTCTAGGCTTGTATAAGCCCACACTTCTTTAACTTTTTTGTGCCTATTAAATGAACTCGTAGTTCTTTTGTAATAGCTATGTTGTATAGTATTTCCGCACATTGTTCTCTCAGCTGTGTGTCCTTAGCCGTTCTGATTGCTTGTTTGATTTCTTTGTCTATTCTTCTGTATAATATCTTGTCCTTATCTTTCACCTTTTGCCTCTATTCCATTATATCGAGAATCTCATTGGTAATCCACGATTTTTTCTTAATTTTTGGTAGTTTGAGGAATTTCTTTTATATGTCTTGTGAAACTCTATGCAGTTTTTTAAGCTCCTGGTCTAATAAATCAGTTTGAATAACGGTATTTAAATTGCTATATATATACTGTTTTATATTCTGTTCTGTGCGTTGGTTTTTGAGTAGCCTGATGTCATATTTTGTTTTGACACTGCGTCGAATCTTCTTTAGCCTGACCATCATTTTGCAAATCAGTGGGTAGTGATCTGACTTGATTTCGGCTCCTGGATATATTTTGATTGATAAAATGCTGTTACGGAATCTTTTATTAATCATAATGTAATCTATTTGATTTCTAACTATGTGGCCTGAAGTATCTTGAGGTAATTTCCACGTGTATAATCTTCTGTATGGGAGTATGAAGTAAGTGTTAGTAATTAAAAACACTTTTTTTGATACAAATTACACCAATCGGTCTCCTCGTTCATTTCTTTCTCCAAGCTCAAATTGTCCTATGAACTCTCCCCATTGTCCCGTACCAATTTTGACATTTACATTATCCATAATCAAGGTTAAATCCTTTTTGGGAAGGTGTTTCAAGGTGTTGGATAATTCATTATAGAATGCTTCACTTATGTCATCTAGTTTGTCAGTGGTAGGGGCATATGCTTACCTGAATAATGTTAGTTGTTATTCGGTAGGTATTAAGTTGAAGGAGGAGCATTCTTTCCGATATGGGTCCAACGTTTTTAAAATGTCTGGCCAATTTCTTGATGTAAAATTATACCTACTACATTTTTGTGTACCTATTTCGTTGGAGTTACCTGAATAATACATGTGATGATTGTTAATTTCACATTTCCCAGAGTCCGTTCATCTTATTTCGCTTATTACCATGATGTTTATTGATAGTCTATCCATCTCCTTGATTGTATTATGAGTCTTACTGGCCTCATATAATGTTTTAACATTCCATGTGCAGATCTTAAGCATTTTTTTGCACCAGATTGGCAGGGATTTCGTGTGTTGTCGACCGAGAAGGCATTGCCTTCTTGAGATTGTCCTTCTCTGCCGGATCTTGGTATCCGAATCCCATAATCAGTATTATCTTCTCTTTGACTAGTTATCCTATTGTTGATTATACTAGGGGTACTCTCCGAGTCTTTAATGCAGTGGTTCCCCGGTGCCTTCTGCATCTTTATGCCGTTGACCATTGTTAATAGGTTCCTCCGCCTTTAAGACCGATTTATCAACCTTAGGCCCTTCCAACTATCAGCTCATCCGCCTGTAGCCGTTCTGTCTACACTCACTTAGTCTAGCCTGCAGACCAATTCATTTGCCCAGGGTATGGCAGGTGGAGCCATAAGGTGTCTTATGAGGACCAGTTATCAAAAACCATCTCCCGTCTATGATGCTCGATGTGGTCGTTTTGATAAAAGGTGCTCCTTTATAACACAACCCATATACCCCAAGTAGTGTAGTGAGTGTATTAACACACCGTAATTGTTGTTTAAATTTTATGACATTAATTCTATTTTACTTTTCGCAGATGGTTTATGTCTTGAATGTCATAATAAACTTGTCTAATAAAGTCCTGAGCGTAAAAAGTGTCCTCCTAGTACAATCCTGAATAAACTAATACTAATATTTGTATGTAATTACGTGGCTAAAGTTTTTAAAAAAGCTAAAATCTAAAAAAAATATTCGCAGGTATTAAAGAGTGGGTCGCCGAGCTGTGCGTCCAGGCCGTATACATAACTTTATTTTGCTTTTTATTTGGTCCAAATGTATTTTTATTTTAATTAAACTTATCACAAATTGTGGACTGAACATCAGGTAAAAATAATTCCAAACCACAGCCTATAAACCGACATAACACTACAAACAACACGAAAGAACCAAAACTACAAACCGCAGTCATTTACAGTAATTTACTCGTATTTTCATATCCATGCATGAATTATATTAATATTGCAATAAACTATCACTGATATTATCACATACCTTGCACTTGTAACTACAGTTGTTAGCAAAACTCTGTACTTAAGCAATTCTTCCATAGATGGTTCGTAAAATTCACCATGCTTGTCTAGATTTACAATATCTTCTATTCCCTGGAGTTCAGTTTTGTTATGGGCATAGATATACCCAATATGTCTAAATATTTCGCTTTTGGGAATAATTTTTCTTAACCGTACAGCGACTTCGTTAGTTGCAGCGTTGGAAGGAGCACAAATTAATATTCTGGAGTTAGGATATTTTTTCCAAATCTGAAATAAAAGAATGGTCTTAATGTACGATGATTTACACAATATGAATAAACTTTTAAAAATATTCAAATACGCTTTAAATTACTCTTTACACTACCGTTATGTGTAAAACCATGAGACTTGTCGCCTTTGAATGAAAAACATTTTCAAAACACGATAGTTGCAGCACACCATGCTAGAAACATTAAATGATGATAAGAAATCTCCTGACTTTATGTTTCCTCATACATATATATATATATATATATATATATATATATATATATATATATATATATATATATATATATATATATATATATATATAATCTTTGCAGATAAGTTAAATAGTAATCTCTTAAATATTGAGGAAATCTGCAAGAAAAACTCTAATGTGTATCAATTATTTCGCCGAAGGTTTTCGCCAAAGAGAATTAATTTGGCTTCTTTAGGGCTGAAAGAAAATAAATTATAATTAGCTACCATATATTATCTAATGAGACATTTATCTTACCGTAAATTTTAGTTATAGTTATATCGAGTAATAACATAGTGGTGTTTTTGTTACTATGTGCAAAAAAAGTTTTTTTAACGTTGGAAATGTATGGTAGTTTTGAACTTAAAACGCAAAGGTTTACCCAAGGTTAATCGAAAAACCCAATGTAACTACATTTAAAGGAAGTAATACTTTGAATTATCGGCAATAACTAAATTTTTTGATTGTTATAAAGTTTGAATGTGAGGTTCTGTTTTCTTATAACGCAAGCACTGACAATTACAAGTATGCCTTTTGAATATTTATGTCGTTAAGGTTCATTGGTAAAACCGATGAAGTTAGATCCCAGTTTGGGGAGATATTATTTTAGAATTTTCTTAATTGAAATTCTTTTTTAATTCGTCTATTGTTCATGTATTATTATCTCAGTCATTGCTTTACTATCCTTTCAAATTCCATTTATTAAAAAATATGTTGATGATATAATTTTGGCTATACCCAATGACAAGGTAGATGAACTATTAGACACTTTCAATAGTTATGACCCCTACATCCAGTTCACTATAGAGAGGGAAGATGGTAATTGTTCCGTCCCCTTTCTCGACATAAGAATGATTAGGGAAAACAACAACATTAAATTAGATTGGTATCAAAAACCGACCCATTCTGGTAGATACCTTAACTACCACTCTTACCATAATAACTCTACCAAAGTCAACTTAATCAAATAGATGAAAAATAGAGTAATAAAACTATCACATCCTTCATTTCATACAAAAAACCTACAAATCCTTCAGAAACTTTTTATTTCAAACTCTTATCCAACACCATTAGTAAATAAGATTTTGTTTAACACTATCCATAACGAAGATACTTCACCTTCCATCGTGACTAACAATGCTGATCCTGATGTCTTAAGTGGGAACCCAGTCTCGGATACTCCTATCAATAAATATTTTTCATTACCCTTTTTCAGAGATATCACTCCGGGATTAACAAGGATTCTAAAAAGTGTTGAAAATAGCTTTGGGAATAATAATAATAACATTAAACTTAATGTGGCTTGTAGATCAGCCCTAACAATTAATAATCTTTATTCGAAGATAAAAGATAAGACTCCCATAGGTAGGCTTAGTAATATTGTCTACAACATTCCATGCCTCTCTTGCAGCAATTCCTACATCGGCCAAACATCTCAATTATTGAAATCACGTATTACACTACACAAAAGTGATTCTCGACTTCACCCTGACCGCTGTGCATTAGCCAAACATGACCATTCCACTGGTCATCTCATGGACTATACGAACACTACAATTCTCCACCGTGAGAACAATAAATCTAAAAGAGAGTTCAGTGAAATGTCTTATATTTTCCTTAAGGGGACAGTCTCATACGATTAAAAAAAGACGCATTTCAAAATTAAAGCAGAAAAAAAACTAAATTCCTTTTGGAGATAATTAAGTAAGTCTTAAAGTACATAATAAAAATTTTTAATAGCGATTTTAACGTCATTGGTGTCCTGTAAACGGCGTGTAGTAAAAATTGCGTTTTTGGTGGTAAGACACTTTGTGGGTCACCTGTAACAGATATTCAAAAAATTCAGAATGGGTTGTATTCGTGAGACTCAAAACTAGATGATAAACCTTTAAAATATGCAAACTATATTATTTTGAAGAGTTTATACGAATTTTTTCAAAAAAGTCGAAAAATCACTATATTTTTCGGTGGATTTACCCATATATAATAAAAGGGAGGGTGGTTTTTAAATATTTTAAAGGTTTATCATCTAGTAATTTCTATATACATTCGAAAAATTTTTGGTTTTTTAAAATCGGTTAAGAAGGTTCGGAGAAAAGTGTCTGACCAGTTTGAAAATGTTACTTTTGAGAAAAAAGCATTTAAAGATTTTTTTACATAATTTTCGTGAATAAAAGGCTGATAACTTTATACTCACGTTTAATCGGCCATTCCTGGTGAATATTGAGGACCGTCTTCATCCAACAGTTGTTGTACATGGATTTGTAAAGCTGTAAATTTTAGTACAACGTCGCGATGTTTTATAATTAATTCATTTGTTTGACTGGAGTCTCACTCAATGACGTATAATATATAGACTACGCAGTCCCCTATTCTCGCAATTCGCTCCGTGCGTGACCATGGTAGGGGTACATTGAAACGATGTCAGCGTGCGTAGCGGCGAAATATGACAAAATTGGAATATTGGACAAAATATTTTTACGCATAAGTTTTATCAAAAATGTGTGCAAATACATGTTGCGTATTTAATTCTGCTAATAATAGCAAAAACAGTGAGTGTAGTTTTTATAGGTTCCCAAAGATTACATATAAATTGAAGAAAAGAAAAAGATGAATTCGTGCTATTAATATGAAAAAGTAAATATCACATAATTTCATTTTTATGCAATTGAAATAGGAACAATTTAAATAATTTACCTTGAATGATATTTCATAAGGCTTCAAGCTAACTGCAGATGACTTTAGCTTTTATATCATAACTTTTACTATTATTGTTTTTAATTATATGCTCTTTTGCGTGAAAAACTTGATTTGCCAGTACTAGATTTTTCGCTTTCTTTTTTCGTTTGGAGTTGAAAAGATATATTATGATGAATTTTGAGAAACTCAGTTTTTAATACTACATTTATTTTGTCCATAAACTGAAAAAATATAGTTAAAAAACTAATTTATTAATAATTGTCAATTTCGCATGTATTTAACAATGTCAAACATATGTCATATATTTAACCTGAAAATTGGGACTCCAAAATTGTCAGATGAAGGCGGTAGGTGTCGCATCAGTCACGCACAGAGCGAATAGAATCGAGTGTCCGAAAGATCTCGGCTCAAGGTTGAAGGTATGTTTATCAGAACAGCGGCGTGCTCATTTATATGTTAATGACAATAATTATTTTTTAATTAAAATTAAATATTTATGATTTCTTTTTGTTCCCGTCTATAAGAGAACTAATTATTTCGATAAGATAGTATGGCATTTTACTAAAATAGTAAGTAAATAACTCTCAACAATTTAAAATAAAATTTGCTTGTCACACAAAATGGAGAAAATGTTTTCATACGTCCATGATGTTTTCAAACACTAGATCAACTTCGTGATGCTTCGTAAGAAATCATGAACTTCGTGCACCATCGTATCAAAACAATAAACAATAACAAAGGTATTCATGTTTTGGACACTTTTTAAAGCGTTCACTGAGTCTATATATTATACGTCATTGGTCTCACTCTCAATTCACGCCGCGATGCTGCCAGTGTAAGTGTAAAAACGGAACACACCTAGATCGCATGTCAATTCAACGAAAACGTACTAATTTATAAATGTAGATATGAAAATATTTTATAACTAAAAAAATTATTGTTTTATTGCCAAAACGGCTTGAAAAAAAGTTGATTTCTAAAATTAAAAATAAAAAGGAATTTTAAAAATAAAATAATTATATTACACTCTTTTTAATTTGAAATTAATAAACAATATTTAGATTATTAAATGTATTTAAGTATAAATTTTATAACTCAAATAATACCTAATGGACACAAACAAAATTGATGTTAATAAAACATTATTTATTATCTGCACAAAACCGGACTTTCAGGAAAAATCGGTAGACGCAGCAACACTGTCGGCGTACCATATACGCTACTATAAACCGTTGAGGAGAAGTGGAACTATAAATCCAGTGGAACAAATAAATTAGTTATAAAACATCGCGACGTTATAAAGAAACACTGGTTAATTGCAACGCAGAGAATCTTAGTATTTGTAAAAAATCCTATGTTCTGGATTTAAAATTCCAAATGTGTATAGTAACTGCCAAACGTTATACTGATATACATACTATATACAAATGAATCACTAATACATACCCAACGTATATACAACATATACACAAAAGCAAGAACAGCTGGAGCCTCGCGCTCGCCGCGCGGAGAGAAACCGGTTTTCATACGTGCGTAGATGACGTTAATAAAATAACTATTTATATTCTAGTGGAAATTTCTTTTTAAAATTTTAGGAGGGAGTTTTTGAATGTAAATGGAAGCGATTCATAAAAAAAAATTAAAAAATTGATTTTTTGAGAGTTCCGCATGAAACTGTCCCCTTAACGATTTTTCCATCAATGTTAAGAGTGACATTACGAATCTAAGCAATATATACCACTTCTTACTTAAATCAGATACCAAGAACAATACAACATCATAGATAACTAACTTGACTGATATATCTATTAACAACTAACCTACTTTAATAATAATTTTCATTAACTAAAAAAGATATCATACCCTTGCTTTTCTTAGATAGGTACATCTCAATAAGATATTATTATAATAATACATGAACAGGATAGGCTAATTAAAAAAGAATTTCAATTAAGACAATTCTAAAATAATATCTCCCAAACTGGGATCTAACTTCATCGGTTTTACCAATGAACTTTAACTACATAATTATTCAAAAGAACTACTTGTAATTGTCAGCGCTTGCTTTCTAAGAAAACAGAACCTCACATTCAAACTTTATAACAATCAAAAAATTTAGTTATTGCCGATAATTCAAAGTATTACTTCTTTTAAATGTAGTTACATTGGGTTTTTCGATTAACCTTGGGTAAACCTTTGCGTTTTAAGTTCAAAGCTACCAAACATTTCCAACGTTAAAAAAAACTTTTTTGCACATAGTAACAAAAAACACCACTATGTTGTTACTATATGTTATACTAACAAAAAGAAGAAGTTATTAAAACAGGTGCCGTTTCGATAAGTGACAGTCGATACGACACAGGACTTAATTAACAATTGTCTCATCAATATATATATATATATATATATATATATATATATATATATATATATATATATATATATATATATATATATATATATATATTAATTTTCGTTATATTTTAAGGTTTAAAGGGGTTGACTTACCTGATATACGGATTCCACTACTGTTATTGTTTTTCCGGTTCCTGGAGGACCAAAAATTATAAAGGGACTGTTCCTACATTTTACAATATTTTTTACTGCAAGTTTCTGTTCTTCATTCAAGATACTATTAGAGAGGATCCTTAAAAATTAAATGAACTTATTTTATTTAGGTGTAATTAAACTACCTCATAATATCAAAAAGATTACTATTGAAAATCCAAGTAGAAACGTATATTGTATGTGCAATCACATCACTCACAGAATTAGTTTGTAAGTACTTTTTTAAATTATCTTTATTATAATTATTATGTATATATAACACACATATATATCTATTATAGACAATATAAATTTAGAACAACCTATCTTATTAAAATTCTTACAATAATTAAATTAGATTAACAACATTTGGATCCTTTCTGTCACTGAATGCCTAAATGAAACTGTTTTCCAAAATAAACGGTTTGATCACCACTTAATATCTTCGTTGTCAGCCTCGATTATCCTTGTTTTTGTGAAATTACTTTTTCCAAATACACCACAATGTTTTAATTATCAGCTTCCCCCAATTTAAATTATTTTTCTTCTAATAGGATTTATAAATGGGCAAAATATTCTTCTTTATTTATTGTTTCTTCTTTACTTTGTTCTTATAATCTTATTTTTTCTTCTTGTCTATTATCTTCATCAATTTCAACAATCAGCGATTCTGTATCTGGTTCATTATTAAGATCTTGTTGAGCTTGTTCATTAAGTGTTTCCATATATTCAAAAATATTTTTTGTGTTTTCCAAATTTTTTGTTTCATTGACGTTTAGTTCTATTCTGGATAATGTATCACAATTTGTATTTAAAGATCCTTTTTTATAAATGATTTCATAATCATATTCTTCTAGTTTCAAGCGCCATCTTACTAGTTTGGAGTTGGGATCTTTCAATGAAAATAACTACTGTAGTGGTTTATGATCAGTAATAATAGTAAAGCGTCGTCCAAATAAATACGGGCGAAAATATTTGACAGCCCATACTATTGCCAGTAATTCTGTCTCAATTGTTGAGTAATTGATTTCTGAGTTGTTCAAAGTTCTGCTTGCATAAGCAATTGGCAAGTCGGATCCAATCTTTCCTTGACTAAGTATGGCTCCTAGCGCAAAATTACTAGCATCTGTAGTGAGATTGAAAGAACGGGAGAAGTCAGGATACTGTAATATGGGTTCATTTATGAGGAGTTGTTTACAAGTTTCAAAACATTGGATGTAATCTGAATCGCTTACATTGATTTCAGCATTTTTCTTTAGGCGAGTAGTTAGTGGTTTAGTAAGTTTAGAAAAATCTTTGATAAATTTCCTGTAATAACCTAAAAGTCCTAAAAATCTTTTAATTGCTTAGTATTTTTGCGTATTGGAAAATTTTTTATAGCTTTAATTTTTTCTGGGTTCGGCTTAACCCCTTCTGATGTTACGATGTGATCTAAATATGCTACTTCTTTAAAAAGTCAGATTTATCTATTTGAGTTTTAAAATTTGATTCCCTTAATCTTTGAAACACTTCTTTTAAATTAACAAGATGTTCCTGAAGACTTGTACTAAATATAATTTCAAGATAAACCAAACATTTTTCATTTTGTATACCTCTCAGGATATTATCTATAACCCGTTGGAATGTTGCTGGGGCGTTACGGAGTCCGAAAGGCATTCGCAAAAATTCGTAGTGTCCATTTCTGTATTAAATGCAGTTTTTTGAATGTCGCTTTCGTCCATCTCGATTTGATGGAACCCTGAAGCGAGGTCGAGTGTCGTAAAGTATTGACACCGTCCAAGTTTATCCAATAGGTCACTAATGTTAGGTAAAGGGTATCTATCACCAAGTGTGATAGCATTAAGACGTCGATAATCTATTACGACTCTAAACTTAGGTTTTTTGGAGGCGTCCATTTTTTTTGGGACCACCCATATAGGAGAACACCAAGGGGAATCCGAAGGTCTAATAATATCTTGATCCAGCAGATTCTGGATTTAATTTTGCACTTCCTTCCTATAAATTTCTGGGTATCTATAGGAGTTTGAATATACTGGTATACCGTTTGTTGTTTTTATTGTATATTTAATTTTATTAGTAAAAGTTAATTGGTTTCCTTCGACATGGAAGATATCGGAATATTCTTCTATTAACGTTAATATTGAATTTCTCTCCTCAAAATTCATATGATCTGTTCGAACTTTAGAAATATCGAATTTAAATTCTTCAGGATATATGGAATTAAAATTTGGATTTGAAATTTGTTTGTATTCAGCGAACTTTTCCACCATGATTGGGGAAGTTACATCCAATTTAAAATAAGATTCAGAGGAATTCAAAATCGTGCAAATAGCCTTATTGTTTTCTACCGTCGTAAGGCACTCCGGAATTTCTAATTTACCGATTTGTGTATATTGTATAATTACATCGCCTTTTTTTATATTTTTAACATTTAAACTGATAACTTGCCCGGTTCGTGGCGGCACTACTATACAATTCGTGTTGCCACTATTCCCGGCTTTATAATAATTTAATTTTATCTTACTATGCGAGGTAATTAAAACGTTATTGGCCAAATCAATTTTTGCATTTAATTTTTTTAAATTATCGAGGCCTAATAAGAAGTGAAAATAGTCATGGAATTTAAAAACGCAGTAACTTAAATTTAATTTATTTTTACTATTAAAAATTTTTGATAAGGGAATTTCAGTACAGTAATTTTCCTGTTTTGCTCCAAGTGTTGTTGAAATTTGAAAGGGTTTACGAAAAATTGAATTTTTAAAATATTTTTCAGCGACTTCTGGGGTTACAAACGATTTTGTGCTCCCAGTGTCTATTAGTACTTTAAGATTATGCTCAGGAAATACAATGTACGGCAATTCACTTTCGTTATTTATCAGATTTAAAAGTCCAACTTGAGTAATTATGGATTTTCCGAGGCTTTGTGCTCTAAAAAATTATTCTCATTAGTTAATTCAACTTCTTCGATATCGCCAATATGATGTAGCTCTTTAGCTATGATATGTATTATTAAATGTATTATATGTATTATTAAAATGTATTATTGAAGCGTCTTTGATTTTCAAAATTTGTTGGTCTAAAAGTATTTTGACTAGTGGTACTCATTGGAGTTGGGGCTTGAAATCTTTGATTTGGATTTGATTTAAAGACATTACTACTTCTGTTATGTGTAAAAATATTAGTTCCTCTGTTATTATTTGAAAAAGAGGTTGATGCTGATGGTTGTCTTGTTTTTTATTGAAATTGTGTGGAGTTTGTTATAGGTGGAGCTTGAATTCTTTGTCGAGGTTCGTTGAATGTAAAGGATCTGTTCGTTTGAGGAAATTTTTGTTGAAAGTTAAGATTTGGTCTTGGATTACAATTGTTTTGAAATTTAACTTTGTTTTCCTGGATTGTGAAGAATTATTTTCATTTAAATAAATTTGAAAATCGTTAGTTAAAATACTTAATGCAGAATTTAAATCCTTAGGGTTTTTAGTTTGCATGAAGGTGCCAAGTGGTTTTTTGGACCACGTAATAATACTCGTAGTTATAAATTTCTAAAATAGTTTGATAAAATTAATAATTCTTGGTCATTAGAATGTGTAGTAATTAAAGATATTTGTAAATTCAAAAGATGTTGGACTTTATTGAAGAATTCAATGGGAGTTTCATTATTTTGCTTTAATTCTGACATTTCTATACTAAGGGTATAAATATCTCTTTTATCAGTGTAGGTATGTATTTAGCAAGGCATCTTTAAGATCTTGCCAGGTCCTAACTACACATGCTGAAATATTAATAGCAGCTTCACCTTTTACTTTTGCTAATATGCTAGACATTAAGAATTCATTCTGAAAATCATCTGAATCAACTGTATTATAAAATTTATTAATCAATTTTTTACAGATTTCCACGAATCTAGGAAGTAATATATTTTCTCCGTGGAAATCTGGAATCATGTCAAGATATTCCTTTTTTAATTGTGGTATTGCCATGTTTCTTTTATTTTTTGAGTAAAAATTTAAATTAAAAGTACGATTATTTATTAAGGATAAATTAGAACAAAAATTATCTTTAATAGGGAGTTTTGAGTCAGAATCTGAGTCTGATGAATCAGAATTTATTAGAATTTTAGGCTCTCTATACGACATAAGCACTTAGAATTGTCCACTCCATGTAAGCTGGTTCACTTAGAAGGTTTGACTAGGCAGGTATCTTCGATATTCACTCGAAAAGTCCACTTAACACGATTCCTGTTATAAAGGGCTACTCAATCCACCCACAGGAATATAACACGTCCGAATTAAGGTCAATAAATCGTTGAAACGAACCGAATTTATATTCGCTAATATATATATATATATATATATATATATATATATATATATATATATATATACATATAAAGTAAACTTTAAATATTGGGTATGCAGCAATAAAAATGAAAGGTGTACTCTTTTAAAGTTTTAATCCCAGCTTTCGGACATTGGTTATGTCCTTCATCAGGGAGCTACAAAAATGTGATGAATAATTTTTTCAAATTTGTATAATTAATTAAAAATTCGATACTTACAAACTTAATGTGGTTGTATCATAAATGATTTTATAAAATGTTGATAAAATTTATCACAGTATGTCATATCTGTTGAGCTAAAACCTATTCCTATATTTAAAATTTTAAAAAATTACTTTACATTCACACACACTTAATTATTATTATACACAAATTTATGACATTGATATTGTTAATTTTCTTGTATCGTTATTAGTTTTTGTCACGACAATCCAGTGATTTTTATTGTTGGCTTTTTCGGAAGTCTTCGTGCGCAAATTTAAAAACATTCGTCTTGACAAGTGAAAATCCCACATCCCTAATATCAAGCAACTGCTAGTACAACAAATTATAGGCCTATCATTAGGTATATCGTGGAAATATAAATTATTTTATATTTGTTAATATCATTAGGAAGTGAAATTTCAACCTGTCAATGTTTTAAAACAAAGCCTATTAAATTAACATAAATAAATAAGGTCATAATTCTAAAAACGTTACAATTGATTGTGATTTTGTTTTGTATAACCCCAGTATCTGTGTGTAAACAAAAATTATTAAATTTA